TTCCCCCCGAGCGTCAGTCGGCGACGATCCTCCGCGGAGACAAGGTGTGTGACGCTGCTCCTCCTTCCGATTTCTCCTCCCGATTTTAACTACTACGAAGACAAAGAAATAAAAAAAGGAAAGAGAAGAATGGATTACGGGTTTTTCGGATTAGTGAAAGAGGCGGAAGGAGAAGGCGAGGTTAGGCTAGCTTTCTGAAATGTTTTTCATTGTTTATTGTTTTGTATATATATTTTTTCTCGATATTATTTCATTTATTCGCCGATTTTCAGGAGAGGCGGAAAGTTCGGTCAGAGAACTAAGACTTTGTAAATAAACTTTAATGCTAAGAAAATAAGAAAGAAAAAGAAAAAAAACGTTAGTTTTGTATTCCATGACTCACGTTTTGCTCCGCTTCCGTGCTCTCCCTAAACCATTATTTATGATTTTATATGTATTTTTTTCTCTCTTCACCCCCCCTTTTCTGTCGTTCTCTCTCTCTCTCTCTCTCTCTCTCTCTTTCCCCCTCTCTCCCTTTTCTTTCTTTTTTCTCTCCTTTCTTTATCTCTCTCTGTGTCTGTCTCTGCTTTTCTCTCTCTCTCCTCTCTCTCCTCACTCTCCTCTCTATCTCACTCATCTCTCTCTCTCTCTCTCTCTCTCTCTCTCTCTCTCTCTCTCTCTCTCTCTCTCTCTCTCTCTCTTCTCTCTCTCTCTCTCCTCTCCTCTCTCTCTCTCTCTCTCTTTCTCTCTCTCTCTCTCTCCTCCTCTCTCTCTCTCACTCTGTCTCTATCTCACCATCTCTCTCTCCCTCTCCCCCTGTGTCCCCGCCCACAGAAGCCGCCGGCCTCCGTGTCCTTCGAGCGGCGGGCGTCGGGCGGCAAGGAGAGGCCTCAGCCAGCAGGAGGAGCCGAACCGAAGGGCCAGGAAACCGCGTCGGGATGGCGGCCCAGAGAGACGCCCGAGGTAAGTCATTGATAAAACCCCTGTTTTTTCAGCAACTTTTCGAAAAACCTGACTTCAAAGGCAAAGAGCGAGCAAGAAAGAATTTCACAAGTTGAGGAGAATTTAATCCTGCGATTACGACCAGTCTTGTTATAAGCAGCGCTGAGTACTTACTTGTATCCTTCCAGAGATTTGTAGGCCTATAATTCTTTGTATGTGTAAAAAAAATAAAAAAAATACTTGAAAGCTTCGAGTAATTTGTAGGCTTTCAACTCTTCAGTGTAACCACCCGGCGTGTGTAATAGGTAGAGATAAATATCACCAAAACTAACATGGGCCAACCATTGGGGCTTTCAGACCAGCCAGCAGAGAGAGCGAAAGGATCTGGTAAGCTTTCTGTACCTTTAGAAAACAAAGATTTTATTCATAACGTTTTTTTTAGCTTTTTAATATATCGAGAGATTTGTAGCTAGGTTGGCATCGTCTCACCAGCTGATTCAACGGCCTGTTGATCTTTGCCTACCAGTGTTGTGCGCGTGCCGCGAAAAAGCTTATTGTTTTTTAATCTTGTTGACCGTTCCCTATTCTCTTCCTTCTCTCTCTTATTCTCCCCTTACTTCTTTTCTCTTCTCCTTCTCTCTCCTTCCTCTCTCTTATTCTCTCATTCTTATTTCTCTCTTCCTCTCTCCCATCTCTCTTCACTTCCATTATCTTCGTCCCTCTTCAGATGAAAAGGAATTGGGAAAAAGAAGAGTGGAAGGAGTGAAGTAAACGTTACAATTAAAGAAAAGGTTACTTTGTACACTGCCCTCATTTTGTCCGCTTTCCTTGCTCTCCCTTTGTTTGTTGCGTTGTTTTGATTTAATCTCTCTCTCTTTTTTCTCCCGTCTCTCCGTCTCTCTCTCTCTCTCTCTCTCTCTTCTCTCTCTCTCTCTCTCTCTCTCTCTCTCTCTCTCTCTCTCTCTCTCTTCTCTCTCTTCTCCTCCTCTCCTCTTCCTCCTTTCCTTCACTCCCTCTCTCTCACTCTGCTCCCTCTCTCCTTCCTTCCCTCCCTTCCTCTCTTCCTCGCTTCCTCCACTCATACATGCAGTCTCTCTCTTACTCACACACTCTCCCTCCGTCCCTATTTCTCTCCCTCTCTCTCTCTCACTCACCCACTCTCGCTCCACTCACTCTGTCTCTATCTCACCCTCTCTCCCATTCCCTCTTTCTCTCTCTCTCTCCCCCCCCCCCCCCTCCTCTCTGTATTTCTCTCTACTCTGTCTCTCTCCCTTCCCATTCCTCCCGTCCCTCATCACCCACTCTCATTCTCTCCCTCTCCGTCCCTTCCTCCCTCCCATATCTTATCACTTCCACTCCCTGTGTCCTCGCCCACAGGAGCTGGCGGCCTCCGGGTCCTTCGAGTGGCGGGGGCGTGGGGCGCGCGAAGACCCGCAGCCAGCAGGAGGAGCTGAACCGAAGGGCCAGGAATCAGCGTCGGGATGGTGGCCCAGAGAGACACCGGAAGTACGTTTTTTTTCTCTGTTGTTCTCTCTCTCTCTTATTCTCCTTTTCTCTCTCTTATTTTCTCTTCCTTTCTCTCACTCTCTTATTCTCTCTCTCTCTCTCTCTCTTTCTCCTCTTCTCTCTCTCTCTCTCTTTTCTCTTCTCTCTTCTCTCTCTCTCTTCTTCTCTCTCTCTCTCTCTTCTCTCTCTCTCTCTCTCTCTCTCTCTCTCTCTCTCTCTCTCTCTCTCTCTCTCTCTGTCTCTCTCCTCTCTCTCTCTCTCTCTCTCTCTCTTTCTCTTTCTCTTTCTCTCTCTCTCTCTCTCTCTCTCTCTCTCTCTCTCTCTCTCTCTCTCTCTCTCTCTCTCTCTCTCTCTCTCTCTCTCTCTCTCTTTCTCTTTCTCCTTCTCTCTCTCTCTTTCCTTTTTTTGTCTCTCTCTCCTATTTGCTCCATCTCTCTTTTCATTCCCGATCGGCTTACTGAAAGTAGAATAGGATAGTTTCTCTTTAACTTACTCCTTTGGATCAAAGAAGATGTGTATATAGCCTGGGTAACTATCTTATATATGTTTCGTGATCTCAGCATGTCTCTTGTTGATATATTGGTAGTTATGATGTTTTCGTGCGTCGTGGGACTCTGTTATAATTGGCAGAAGTACATCTATCGTTTGAAAAGACACAGTATATGGTAAAGGTTGACGACCGGACAGCAGCCGTCTGAGACTCCAGCCAACGATGCCGGAAAATCGGGATGGGGAGATTTCGCTTATAGCTGGTATTTTAAATGATAAAAGAGTGGAATAATAATAATAATAATAAAACGAGCCAAGAATCGCATTTCCTATGCTGAAGAAAATGGAACATAGAAAAGCCCGAGAACCCGCCACGGAAGACTCGGCGCTGCGTTGCGTGAGGTCCCGAGCGAAGGAACCCTGTCAGAAAGTTCCACAGTCGGATCACCGCGTGAACGAAGCACCTCCCTGAGCCGTGGTCTCCGCCCGTGGGCCCCCTCCCGATCGCCACCGACTGCGTTTAAGCATGCAAGTGTGTGGGGGGGGGGTGAGAAGGCTGAATCGTGGCGAACAAGGACAAAGTATAGCAACTGTAGCGCGATTATTGTTTCTCTTAATAAATTCAGTGTATAGCCGATATCGTGGCGTTGTTTTTAAGAGATCCTTTTCGCCGGAAAGCTGGGAAAGAATTCGGAAACACATGTAGCAATGTTAGCAAAGGTTACGTTTGGAGCGAGCGACGAGGAGGGGCGGGGGGGGGGCGTCAGGTTTTCCGTAGCAGCTTTCCTGCCATTCTCTAAACATTAGGTGATACAGAAAACGGGTTTCAATAATAACATTGGACCATACACTATAGTAAACGGATGAATATTAGATTACAGTTACAGTGCGTAGGATCAAAGTCTGGTGATTACAAGTCTCCGTGTTACTTTCTTGCTCATCCCACGGCATAAAGCAATATGCAATAAATACATTACCAAGCCGGTGTAGTGAACTGCCCGCAGCTGTTCACTAGGGCGAGCCCGTTCTGACCTCAAGGGGGCTGGAAATATTGGATTTCCTCCTATTCCCAAAAATTACGTTAAAACAGATTTCATTGAACTGCATTCATTATTACGCCAAGAAAGCAATAAAACAAGTATAAAATAATTGCAAGTACTAAAAAATGCATTAGATGTATAACCTTAGAAAATTCGAGTAAACCTGTAAACTTGATTTATCTAAAAAAATATACGACTCTTCCGAACAAGTGTCGTAGGGCTGAAGGTTTAAAGTCACTCTGTGGGCCTGTGGCTCTCCTTCTGAGGGTGCCCAGCTAGAAGGCCAGCTGGAGTGACGCGCATCAGTTCAGACAGGGATGGATTCAGCAATGTTCATGTTTAATTTGTTTGTACGTGAGAAAATATCCCATTATTGTTTTAAACACTTTTCTTTTGCATCAGAACATCTGTAGCCATTACAAAATAACGAAAATAAGGCCTTTGGGGAAAAAATCGATGTGACGTCACCATCCACCGGCCGTCTTTTGTTTCCGTTTAGCAGACGAATTTCCGTAGATTTCCAGCCTTGATGAGGACTGTGACAGCACAACTGACACGTTTGCCAATAGATGGCTGCGCATGTGCAAGCATGGGTGATGCATGTATTTCTAACACAAATATGGTGTGTTTATAATAAAATAAACGGCATCGTATATTTCAAGGAATATCTCTTAAAACACATGACATTGTCTCAAGATATAAGCATAGGCAAGACGTGTGCTACCATTAACTCTGTGTATCTTATTTATATTCATATATATATATATATACTGTAAAACAAATTAATTTGATCTCTCTCTCTCTCTCTCTCCCTCTCCTTCACAGCGTACAAATTAAACTTACTCTCTCTGTCCACAACAGCCGACAGAATCCCAACCTCGTGAGCGCAGTCAGTCACAGCCTGCTTCTTCTGAAGAACAACAGACAGAAACTGAGGAATGGGAAACACCAGACGCAGAGCAGCAGCAGCAGCAGACCCCAGCAGGATGCAGGGCGAGGAAGGACAGCCGGACGGCAGAATTGCCACTCAGCGACGAGGAGTGTCTCTGGACGATGCTGAACCAGGCGGGCGCGATGCTGAGCATGATAGCTGACTACAGGCAAAGGAGCAGCAGGAGGAATGACCGCTTTCGTCACAGCGACTGCTACATGCGCGTGCGGTATCTGAAGGCCCTGCTAAGGAGTATCCTGTGTTCCCTGTCCTCGATGGCTGACGAGGACGGCGAGAGCAGCTGGGACAGCGGGGGGCGAGAAAGTTCCGCGTCCAGCAGTCAGAGGTCAGAGTGGATGGAGTGCAGCCTCCGCCTGATCGACTTCCTGGAGACGGGGCTTCCGAAGGCGGCAGTGGGCGTCACGGCAGTCAGCTGCATCATAGTGACCATCGTATTTATGTTCCATTTATCTTTCGTGCTCCTCTTTTGTATGTTCATTCTCCCCATAGTCTGATTTTTTTCTCTCATTTCCACTTGTCTCGCGACTTGCTCAACAGGTGGTGACTGCCACCTTTTAGGGGGGATATTATGCATGTGAAAGACTGGCTTCATTTCAGAAATTTCATTTGCCTTATTTCCAATGATAAAAAAGTGATTATACGTGTGTATACATATATATATGTTAGGAATCTGTATTTTTAAGACGGACTAGCTTTCCAAATCGTTCTTTGATTTGCTTTGATAACAGCGACTGGAAAAGTGTATTTTTTTATGAATAAAGGCTTATTATTTGCATTTTTGACTTTCAGTTTAACCTGGCCGAAGAGTCCATGGTAAGCCACTTATGAAATAAGCTAATGTTAACATATATTTTGTATTCAGAATCGTATTAATGGATAGTATTAATCTTTTTGTGTAATATTAATGTACCCATGATGTAAGTCGTGGTGCTGAACGTTGATTGGTCAGACGGCCGCCACGGGCAAAAGTGTGGGACGTGATTGCTGGTTCGAGTGCTGGGTAGGACGGCCGCTGCTGAAGAGAGGATCGCTGGCTGGCGAGGAAGACGGGGTTCGGCCGGTAGCTCTCTCGCTGGCTTCTGTGGTTGTGTTGTGTACTGTGCACTGGATCGCAAAAGTATCGGTGCAAAAGGGGTCTGATGCGTCCCGAAAAAAATCATACAAGTGCTAGTGTCGTTATGTTTCAGTGACTTCCCTACTGTGGTCCAAAATGTTTCACACTAATAGTGAACCAATACTTTTGCCATCCATTGTTCCCGGAGTGACATCCAGTGAAGAAAGCGAGAGCCAGGTATCTTTTTTCCCCTTCGCCTTGGAACACATCTGAACTATTTCCATCTCTCGACCTAGCCTAGAATAAGGTGATTCACTTATTTATTGAAACCTAACTGCCGCGTCAACATCTAAGGTCATTAGCGGTGCATTAAAATCATAGAAATAAGGTGAGGCTTGGAAGCGAAGCCCCTGGGGAAGGATTCTTTCTTTTTCTTTTTTTTAGGGGGGAGGGGGGCCTAAGGGCAATGCTTATGGATTCCCGGAAAGGTCAATGAATGTGCCAATCAAAAGCCATACAGCACAGCGATAAAGAACTGTGTCGGGAAGGGTAAAAGCGAGTTAGGGATGAGGAGGATGAGGACAACCTCTCCTGGCTATCAGAGGCCGTCGACCGCCGTAGGTCAGCGTGGCAGGGCGAAGGGCCAAGAGGGAGGAGCAACCCGAGTGCGAGGGTCGTTCAGGAGTGTCACAGAGGCAGCTCTCGTCCTCTCGGCACGGCTCTCGCACCCAGGGGAGCGGAGAGCAGAAGCGGACGGCGAGAAGGGAAAGGAAAGGAGAAGAGAAGACCTTGCTGACTCAGGTGAGGCGGAGGGCTGAGGTCCAGGGCAGGAGTGACCCCCAAATGGGCCTCAGCCTCCATCCCCTAAAAGACTCCCCCCCCCCCCGCCACAACACCGACAACAACGAGCAAGGGATGAGGGTTTGGTGTACTTTCTTTTATTATCGATATATAGATGGCTGAGAGAGAGAGGAGAGGGGGGGAGAAAGAAAAGAGAGAGAGAGAAGACGAGAGAGGAGAGAAGAGGGGGAGAAAGAAAGAGAGAGAGAGAAGAGAGAGAGAGAGGGAGGGGAGAAAGAAAAAGAGAGAGAGAGAGGGGGGGGGAAAAGAAGAAAAGAGAGAGGGGAGAAAGAAAGAGAGAGAGAGAGAGAGAGAGAGAGGGGAGGAAAGAAGAAGCAAGGAGAGAGAATGAGGGAAGAAAGAGAAGAGAGGGAGGGGGAGAAAGAAAGAGAGAGAGAGAGAGAGAGAGGGGGGGAGAAAGAGAGAGCGAGAGAAGAGAGAGAGAGAGGAAGCAGAGGGGAGGGGGGAAAGAAAAGAAGAGAGACGAAGAGAAGAGAGGGGGGAGAAAGAAAAAGAGAGAGAAGAAGAGAGAGAGAGGGGGAGAAGAAAGAAGAGAGGAGAAGGAGGAAGAAGGAGGTGGGAAAGGGGGTGGGGAGAAAGAATAGAGAGAGAGACGGAGAGGGACAGGAGGAAGGTGGAGAGGTCATGAATGGGGGAGGGGGGGGGAAGAAGGGAAAGCGAGTGGACGGGGCAGAAGGAGAAAAAAAAAAAGAGGAGAGAAAGGAGGGTGGAAGAGAGGGTGGAAAAGAAAGAGTGGAGGAGAGAGGGGGGGTGGGAGGAAGAAGAAAGAGAAGAGGAGAGGAGAGCAGAAGGCGGCGCTGCGGAGAAAGACAAGCCGAGTAGAGAGAACCGATCCGAGGGGGGGAGGAGCAAAGAGAAAAAAAAATAAGAGAGCGGGAGATGAGACGACGAGAGAGAGGAGAGGAGGGGTTCCGATGGGGGGGGGGAAGAAAGAAGGAGGATAGAGATGAGATAGAGAAGAGAGAGAGAACGAGAAGCACGAGGAGAGAGAAGAAAGAGAGAGAGAGAGAGAGAAGAGAAAGAGAGAGAGAGGAAAGGGGAGGCGGGAGGAGAGAGGGGAGGAGAAGGTAAGAGGAGGGAGAGAAAGAGAGGAAGATAGAGAGGAAAGAGACGACGAGAGGCCGAAAGGAGACGATGAGAAGAGGAGAGAGAGAAGAGAGAAGAGAGAGAGCACGAGAGCAGGGGGTGGGAAAGAAAAAGAACCAGAAGCAGATGAGAGAGAGAACAAGAGAGAGAGAGAGAAGAGAAAGAGAAGGAGAGAAGAAGCGAGCCGAGAGAGAGCAGGAGAGAGAGGCGAGAGAAGAGAGAGAGACAGAAGGAGAAAGAGAGAGAGAGAAAGAGACGAAGAGAAGGCTAGAAGGAGAAGAGGGGTTCTTTTATTATTTGATCTTTATTGTATCTATCTGATATCTATCCTATATTTTGTTATTGATCATACTACTATTATACACACATATAATATAAAATATGTGAAATAAAATACATATATAATATTATAATTATATTATATATATAATATATATATTATATACAGTATTATATATATATATATAATATATATTATATAGTATATATATACCATAATATATTATATAATATAAGTATATATATATATATGATATATATAGCTACATATTTATACTACATATATAATGTGAAATATACATATTACTTATTTATATACTTATATTGATAGCTGTATACATATGTATATTATACTACTATCTACTGATAGACGTATACTTTTATAATACTATAATGTAGGACATAGGTATGGTGAATGAGAGAACGGAGAAATTCCTGGCTTATCACCGTGGTCGAGGAAAAGGAGGAAGAGAGTTCCGAGATGTACCTTTTCACTTGGACACTCTTTTGACATCCATACGGCGGTGATGAGACCTACGTTTTCTACTGCATATTACAGGCAAGCGACTAATAAAGTATGATCTATATCCTTCATTATTACTCCGCATCACAGCAAATAAATACTAAAATCTGGCGAGTTCGTGATGGGTTCTTCTCGGGACTGAGGATTTGCAGCCAATGAGTTCCTTGAAAGTGAAAGTAATACAGTATATTAATTGATTCTTTCATGAAATCACGAAATACCCCAAAGGTCTCCCTGCTCCAACCTCGAAGAAAGGCAGGAGAACAATACTTTCAACATCTAACCCCGTTTGATATCTCAATTTTCTCTGTATTTACTTCCTCAATCTCTTCCCAGGCGATCGCTAAAATACTTTATCAATACTATGAAACACTCGCTCAGCACTATCCTGGGGAAAAGATACCAGACCAATACGAGGAAAGACAACAAAGAAAAGCAACACGACGACGGCAGTATACCGCTACGCCTGCAACAGACGTTGCAATTGGCATACTATGAGTGAAACTGGACGTTGCCTTCAAACACCAGGGATCTACGAAAATCCGGCGACGTCCATCAACCGTAGAAATTCCAACCCATGGTCGGTTGCATGTAGAGTGAAGCTGGAATCTACCGACGTGAGAAAGAAGGCATGAAACATCCAATGAAGGATAAAGCAAAACACAAAGAAGGTCATGAGCTGACATACATCGCGCAGAGAAAACATGAACGCCGAATCGGGTAGAATTTCACACCTATCCAAGTCGCCCGGCAGAATTGGCATGAACCCGATGCGCGGAGGTCAAGGCTCCATAGAGTGAATTCATTCAGCCTCCCGACTTCAACTATAATATGCTGTGTATTTCCCAAATGTATCTCCACAAACGCTACCTCGCATTCTCGACCGAGTTATTACAATGACACAGGATAAATACACCTTTTATGTTGAAGATATCCGTTTCTATTCCTACCTTCCAAATATAGTCACCTGAATACAACGATTCAACATCTTCTCTACCTCTATATTATTATTCTTTTACTCCTTATATTTACTACATGGAAGTTATATATATTATGTACATACTATATGTATATTGTGCCAATTTTTATATGGTATAATACTTAATGTATTAATACATATTTACTCCTCCATTTTCCTCTCGTTTCTCTTCTCTCGCTTCTTTTTCTCCTTTTCTCTTGCTTGTTAATTCATTATTCTTCCCATTTACCTTATTTACAATTTCTTCATATTCTACTTATGTTAATATACACTTACTATATATGTTTTATATATATACTTTACATCTACATTTTATACCTTGATCTCGTAATTCATTTCTTATCCAGATATGTCTACATATCATATTATTATATGTTAATTTTATTATCTTTTAGTATTAGTAGAGTATAGTATAGGTTAGGTTACTGTTTTAGTAGTTATAGCGTTAATGACTTTATATAGTTATAGGTTTCGGTTGAGGTTATATAGGTTAGTATGGTTATCACGCTGTATGGCTTTTAACAATTAATTAACCAGGGAGACTCTCACAAAGTTCTTCGTTTTATCTCACGGCTGATAGTAACTACTTGATATTACTGTAATATAATAAATCATAACTTAATCACGAAAGTCATTACAAAATTACCTGACTTCATTCGTANTGTTGATTACAACAATCTAAAACTCTCTATTATGCAATCTATTATATATCTATCTTCTATCAAAAATCTATCTATCTTCCCATCTAATCTAATCTCCTGTCTATCTGTCTATATGCTCGCATTTAGCTCGACAGATAAGCGAAGAGAAAGTGCGCGCGCGCGGGAGGGCAAGCGAGGAAGCCAGGTGACCGGCATCGTCAGAACATTTAACGAGCGTCCAAGGAGCCCGGATTGTGGCAACACCTGCACGCCTTCTCTCCTTCCCTTTCTCATCAGCGTTTAAAAAAAATGCAGTTAAATACGACGGCCATTC